CAATATTTGTAAAGAAGATTTTTTCGTACAAAAGCTATGCTGATAGGTGGATATTAAATTATTAGCATCAAGATAAGTAAGCAACTTGTTGCAAATCACCCTTTCCAATACTTTGCTACCAACGCATATTACGGTAAGAAAGATCACAGATGCTTCCTTTTTTATGAATGGGAATTATATGAGACAATTTCCAAATTTTAGGATTAAAGCCAGAATTCATAATGTCCCTATAAATTACAAATGGGGAAAGACTCAAAGAAAACTACATATTTTTTAAATTTATTTGTGGAATATTATCGGGACCAGCTGAAATGGACTCAATTTAAGACGTCGTAAACTTTGATAACTGGTTATTTTAATCTCACATAGAGAAGCCCAACAAATTCGATTTACATTAAAAAATAAACTATGAGTATTATCGTCAACAAATACACTAGAATGATATTGATTAAATATGCTTGCAATATCAGAGGCGAATTATCATTATGTTGCAAAATTATTTGTTTTAATTATGTTTTAATTTGTGTATCGTAGCAGGAATTTCATAATTTCTGGTCATATATTTCATACAAATTATACAAATACTTCATATAAACATTAGCGCAATCTAAGTGACTGAATTTGAAAGATATTTTCATTGCGTTAAATTTTTATTCTCTTCATTTCAGACCAAAAGTCTAAAATCAAACTCAAATAATAATAAAAAATTGAAGGTATGTAAACATGCAAAGATGCGTATTTGCTTAATGTAATATATTTATATATTCATTTATATATTTAATATATTTAACTATATATATATATATATATATATATATAGTATAAATTAAAATGGTAAACTTCATAATAAAAATTACTGCTTCTATAATTCATTTATTTGATAATATTATAGAACAGATATGGTTTATATATGGTTAAACAAATATATATACATACAATATGTAAAATTTAGTTATAATATTTAATCAAACTGTCAGCACTTTTTCAAGTCTGAGAATACTCCGTATGGATGGCTTTCATTTTGTCGATACTTCTATTGGTGAAGAATTACAAGTGGACCATTCTTGATTTCATTTCTATTAAATTTTTTTCGCAAATCTTAATAAATAATTTCAATTATAGCTATAAAAAAACTTCGTAAAACTTCTTACAAATATAGTAGGGAATAAAATTTGAATTTTTTTCGAGTTTTGTCCATATATAAGTTAGCTAGAAAGATGGAAATAGTTGAAGGATATGATAACAAAAGAATTCTGAGAGCAAAGAACCACTGAAATTATTTCATAAATTGTGATACTGAAATAAATTGTCATTAGATAAAATTTAGATAATAGATTGCGATTCGTTTTTTTTTATTCTTTATAACTGCTATTTAAATTGTACAATAATTAAAAAACTAAGTAAAAAAGAAATGAAAAGGTTTTAGAAGAATTATTTATTTATTTAGACCAAGCCAGAGAGTATAGCCGAACGTTTAAACTTGATTAATTTGAATTTACAAAAACATATTGTAATAAAAAGCAGCAAGAGAATGATTATTGATAGACACGCGTTAGATTAAATACAAAAATTTAAAAAAGCATAAAAACGTTAAAGTATTTCATGCTAACGATTGATCCACCGTTAAGCCATTATGTTACAGTAGTTATAAATTACCTATAACACTGTTTAATTTTCGTCAGTGGAGTGATGGCGCACAGACCACATAATCAGATAGTTTATTTCAGTAGACCAATGAAAAAATTATAACTTCTCAATTTAATTCTACAAATATGCTTTAGTAATATCAGTTAAAGATAAGTTGACAGACCAGTGGCGGGATAAATGCAACTGAGGACCGAGGCTTGGGTTTGAATCTGCCGACACAACATCCTTAAGGAGCAAAATAAAGGGGAATAGAGCTCGTGAGTTGTTGCTGAATTCGGAGACCCAGTGCTGGATTGTACCAGGTTCTGAGGTTCTATTTCAAACTAAAAGTAAATCTGTCTAAAAATCAGGGTGATGTGGACGACACTTGCACTTCTAACACCAAGGGATATTCCGACAAGCCAGAAGAGAGAGTGTAACTAATAATGGTAAGCACTTTTTAAAAAAATTCCAGCCCGTTAGATTCATTTTCATTTAAATTCAGGTTCAGATTTATAGTACAACCCAGTTTAAAGTAACCATGCTTTGATTCAAGACTCTTACCAACAAATAAAACGGAAATATAATCTAACTTTGTATATAATGAAGAACAAATAGTGATAAAAAAAATTTATGATAAAATTAATGTTGAATTCAGTAATAAGATAGTAGTGTGGAATGACACGAGAAGGAACCATGCTATTCGTGCTGGAATTGCTATTTCAAAAATTATACTCCAAAATTTGATAACTGCGCAATCTTTTGATCTGAAATGGAAAATTTCCCTCTAGTTTCGCCCATCTGAATTAAAATCTGAATCAAATAAGTACTGCCTCACTTTTTGCGTGGTTTTCATAGCAATTTGATGAAGGCTTCGCTTGGGCTGTAGGTAATTCTATCGAATAGAAACTAGAAGCACTGTTCTCTTAAAATTCATTAAATTTTACTGCTCATTTGGGAAAACTAACTTTTCCTCCTATTCATCGAAAAATGAAAATGGTAATATTTAATATTAATTTTAATATTAATTTACAGGAACAGTTCTCATTATCAAAAAATTATAAGAGATTTTCAACACGAACAATCAAAAAATACCGTTTTTAATATTGGCGATTTATTTCTATGGTGAATAATGAGTCCACAATGAGTTTTTTGACCACTTAGCAGCGCGATAAGTAAGTACTCCAAATGCAGTAAATATCATCAAATATGCAAAGGAGATGGTGAAAGCTTTTTTTCCGATAATCTTCGATAACCGATAAATTTCCAAAATACTTGTAAAATTTATTTTACGTCAACAAGTGATTAATCGACCGAAATGAAAGAGCGCCTTCCGAATAAAACGAGGAACTTTGTGCAAATTGAATCCCGCATCGCAATAAAAATGTTCAGAATTCTCGCCCGTAAGTCTCGTCTCCACCCACTATTCTCTAAAAGTACTGCAGAATAAATTGTGAAGTACAGCCACGGTTCCTTTAATAGCGGATTCCAAGAAAAAGAACATCTGCGCGAGTAATCATCTGTCTATACAAAATCATATCAAATAACCAATTTTTTCCTGACCACTCAGAATAAAAAGAAACGAAGCACCACTACACGCGAAGGCAAAAAAAGGTTCCACACTTAGGACCCAAGTATTATTTCCCCTTTTATGCCACTGTAAAGAAAGCTGTAAACAAAAAATTTATTTAACTAACCACATGATTCTATCTCATGATTATTTCTGATTCACATATAAAGAAATTTCGAAAAACACGGAGTGGAAAATTCTTTAATTTTAAGAAGAAATAACCAATAACTGCAGAATTTTTCTTAGAGTACAATTTGGAGTACAATTTTTTAGATAGCTACGCGCCATATAAACTGCACTTTCTAATCCGTTTTCATTACTTTCGAATAAAAACAAAACGAACCAGTAGGCAAACGGACGCAAAAAAAACCCCTTGTCCACACGAACTATTTTTAGAGATAAAAAGGACCAGAAAAATCAAAATTTCATAACAGAATAGTTCTGCAGTTCTGCTATACAGCCTAAAAAAATTGCATGGTGTAATCACAGCCCCTTCATAACTCATCTGCAAAGGCATTCAATGGTATGGGGTCCCATGCGAATAGCCAGTCTTTCTCACAATTCCCAAGGTGAGAGGACAAACTACAACGACTACGAGGAATCTCCTAGAGATTTTTGCATTCCTTATGCTGAATAGACTCTTGTAGCGCGCCACATAGAGGTCCATTCGAAATTTGGATTTAGCCTTAAGCCTAAATTCCCGCCCTAAGAAAAGTGCCGAAATTTCAGGTACATATTTCACCGGTTTTTCTACTCGTTTTGACTCGGCTGGTAGAGCAGCGCTCTGGCAATCCATTCGACATGACAGTATTCCAAAGAAAATCAGATTTTTCAAAGCATTTCACCTTCATATTAGCGTGTGTGCCTTATAAGGTACTGATATAATCTTTAAGAAATCTGCATCACGGTTGCGTCCTGTCCACAACAATTTTCAGTGTGACAGATATCACCATTAGCTGGCACCAATAGGCACCAAATCATTCCAGAACATAGTGTCACGAATCATGAATCATGAATACTGAGATAATACCTTTTTCGCCGCATAAAATCATACAGTTGAAAAATATGGCCAATAAGAGTAGAAATTAACTACTTTGAACCATCTTGCTTAAGGTACAAATTGGCAAACCCTAACAAGATTGCATCCACTTTCAATGGACTATTTCCTGCATTAAAAATAAGGAAAGAAAGCGTCATTTGGAGATACAATGGCTCAGTGGGTTGTTGCTCTGGAGATCTATCCCCCATAAGAAAAAATATGCCTCTCAAAAATCTGAAGGATGCTGACTTATTTATATCTCTATCACCAAGTGGCTTCATGGCAAAATTTGTCAGGTGGGACAAGTCAGTGGAGCTTAATCGGAAAAGGTAACAGCTCTCTTAAAAAAATGGTAAGTTAGGCCAGTTAAGCCATGCGCGTAATTAAAGGAATGATGCTCACTCTGTTTCTTGTTAAGCCAAATGAATTGAGAACAATTAGGCATAAACTGCGCAAAAAAAGAATGGATTAAAAAATGGTTAAGCAACGAAATATGTGATGTGAATGAAGTGTTAAATAAAAACATAATCAAAGACAAAACAAGTCAAACAAAAAGCAGAATTTTCATTTTTGTGCAAAAAACATCTGAAAAAATGAAGCAAAGTGAAGTATATTATTACTGAATTTGCGTTAAGGCCATAACGACATTCTAGCACAGCCCAACACATCTGCTATAAAAAAATAGAAAAACAAAAAAATACAAAGAATATAAAAGTGAGAATATAAAATAAACTGTTTCAACAATATGATAAATATAAAAAACAATCAAGTCTGGCTGAAATCTCGATAAGGTAACGTTGAAGGATTCCGATAACCTCGAATGGGTGATGGAGGTTTATATGATTTACGAAGTGGTTCTTCAATTTGCCAACTCTCTCTTGCTCCAACTGGAGTAGTGACAATCTGGTCGTAAGATCTTTTAACGACGGTATTACTTGTTGTTTGTTCTGATCTTTCCGTGGGATGAACTGGGAGATAATGGTAGGCTAGAACTGAATCTGAAACGAAAATTTGATTATTTCATCAATAAGAAAATGATTTAAAATATAAAAATATGGAATAGCAAATAATGAAAATAGTGACTTTTCCATCAGAACAACTGAACTAAAGTTTGAAAAAACTAATAATCTAAATCCTAAAGAACTAAACAAGACTATATATATGCTTGAATTTTCAATCTCCATTTTGAGCATTTAACGTCAAATTTTGATATATTAAAAATACTTACGCATTTGTGGAGCTGCAGGTGCAAAAGTTTGCTGGGGTACATATGATGAAACTGTAGGATTTCCAATCCCAGCTGGTGCTGCGTACTGTTGATAAAAAGCAGTATTAACAGAATCGCCTGAAGAATTAAAACGATCATGCACACTTTGGAATGAAAAAAAGGTTGAATGCTGAAATACATTTTTGAAAATTTAAAAAATATTTTTTCATATAAGATGCTTTTCAAAAAACACCGACTCCACAACTGATTAAAAATTGAAAAGGACCGTTCTTTTTTGAATTTTTAAAAGCAGAAAGCAGTGATGGGAAAAACGAAGGATCCTCCTTTGTCATCATAACGACAACCAACAAAAAATCATCAAACGACAGACGCGACAATAATCCATCTGAAAATACGCAATCTTGATTTGCTAACATTTCCAACAAATATAATACCTCCAAATATTTTTCGGAATCAGCTGCCTTACCTTTAGTGAGTTAGAAAACTTGAATTTTACAAAATTGTAGCTTACTTTTTAATACAAAAAATTAGATCTGCATTTCAAATTTTAATTGTTTTAGGTTCTTTTTTGCTTTTCACTCTTTTTGTTTTTTTTCCTCTAACATCAGCACATGACCTTATCGTCCTGCTTGGCTCAATGTTCAAATGAATAATTATTTTCAGAGAACTTCGCAATGCTTACTTCATAGTTTTTGGCAGAAATATTCGTCATTTCGATCGGATTTTTTAATGACAGGTTTAATCCTTAATCTTTCCAGGTGAAGGCTGAGCCATGATAATTGAAACAACAAATGCAATACACATTCGGAAATTTTGCACAGGCAAATAATTATATAGAGAGCAATTTTTGACTGTGACTATATTTTTTTTTTGTTTTTTAAATATGCAAACCAATAACACTCAAACCTTGATTCCTTCCTAAATAGAAGAAAAATACGCTATGCAGTTCACTAACCTAAAATTCTATTTGAATCGCCTGAATACATTAAATTATTCAGTTCATCCATTAACTTTCTTTGCTGTTCTTTAACTCCAGCTTCCCACCGCTGAAATTGCGCCACATATTGATTATAAGTGTCGGTGCCACATTGTTTTCTATAATCATGAATTTTCAAAAAAGGCCAAACTAAGATTTAACGTTTTCAAACGATCTCATTGTCGATATTTTAGAAAGACAATAAGGAAAAATGAGGAAAAAAGTAGTAAACCAAATTAAAAGAAAAAGAATAAAAAATGGAAACATATTATCCAATCTCCATTTCTCAAATTTTTCTTTGTGTTCGACGTATTGCTGCTCCAGTGATGACAATAAACTTGTGATATTCGCCGTCTAAAAAATAAACAAATTTTACCGTTAAAAATCCATCATTTCTAACTTTAAATGAATAAATATATTTGAAAAACAAGAAAATTTTTTTATACTTATAATTCATAAATTTTATTGAATTTGAACTTTTTCTTCATAGAATTCTGCTTTAATGTGCAACAGGAACTAAAGGAGAATGCTCAGCATACTCTTATTTTTGCGAATAATATCTAAATAATTAGAAAAGAAAAAAAAAGATTCATTCCTTTTTTTGATAGCAATGAAAAAGAATAATTCAAAATGAAGAAGTAAAAATTTAAAAATTTAATTAACATTTTAAAAAAAAGTAATACCTCACTCATTTGCTAAATTATCGGCTATCGGCTAAAGTAAAGTGCAACAATAAAAGATAACGGAATTATTGATGATAATAATCAACGATACTGAAAAAATATAATGTTAGTAAAAAAGCGAAGAGGAATTAGCGAGATATTTTTATGGGCTATTTTTATTTTTTATAAAAGATAAAAAAAAGAATTAATTCGCATAGACAATATGTTGTGATATAAAGATAATCTCTGTACACGGCTTTCCACATAGTTTCTTTACACAGTAAGTCGCTTCATTCGTAACTTTATCGCTCTCCTTGCAGATCACTTCGTAATCGTTACATGTACTTTTTTTAAGATTTGCAGACAATTTTCGCCAATTGTGCCCCGCAACATTCGCAAATAATTTTTTAACGAACATATCGAAACGAAAAAACGTTTTTTATGAATGTATTTATACTTGCGGCTTGCGGTTATTAGTAATTTAGTCCAGAAACAATATCAGAAAAATCCCTAATAAATCATATATGCTTAAGAATACATGATAGATCCTATTCAAATAAGATCAAGATGACATACTGCTGATTTCTGCGCGGAACTAAATATTATCTGATGAAAATTATAGACTGGTACTTTAGTAAAAGCACAATAAATAAATAAATAAATATATATATAAAACATAAACAAAATAGGACTCTCAATCTTACTAGATACAAAGCACAATTTTTTTAACACAAAGGAGTCGGATCTGGGGAATTTTTAATGGTAATTCACCTCGCATACCACAAGACCTATTTCGCGCAATATCTTCTTCTAATAGCTCTCACTATTACTGGTTAGGCTCTCTTCGCTGGCTACGTCTCCAAGCTGTTCAGTCTGACGCCACAGGTGACAATAATAAAAGCCATTCATTATTCCTTTTTTCGTCTAAGTTAATATATCACTGATCCCCTTATACGTTTTGATTCAATTTCTAACTGAATCAGTCCAGGCCTTGAATGGTCCTCCTCGCTTTTGACGCCATCAATCACAGGGTTTAGTAAGCAGCGAAATTTGTCAACTCCTGTGTTGGAGGACCAAAAACTTGTTTTAAGCAGCGAAGCTGGTTTGCAATGGTAGTATTAATACAGGTAGTATTTGAAAATGTAGGGGACAGAATGGCTCATTGGGTCGTTGCTTAATTGGGAGCGCCAATGGTGAGGTTCGATTCCCTGCACATAAATCTGTACATAAATCTGGATGATGCTGGCGATCAATCTGTATTTCCATCGCCAAGAGACTCCCTGGCGTATTGCCCAATGTGACAAGCTAGCGAGTTTAATCAGTAATGGTGAGAACTTTTAAAAAAAATTTAAAAAGGTGGATGAAAAGCAGATAGCTTCTTAATATCCTCCACTCTCACCGGCCTTATCTCGTAGCCATATAGGAAGATCGAGCAAAAAAATTATAGGAACGCGGACTTTCATTTTCGCTCGATTAAACAGCATCTATTGTTCACTCGCCATTACAAATTAAGGTTACTTTTTTATTTAATATGTTAATGCCCAGTTACGTTTATGTGTTTCAAAGCAATAAGAAAGTTTATCAGAATAACTTGTATATGCTAAAAAATATTTTTTGGTTTTTCATCGATTTTCATAATAAACTATTTACGATCGTTGCAAAATTCTTTGCAAACATAAGGATGCGAGTGCAAATGCTACCAAACTGCGTAAACTAAGTAAAAGCTTGATTTACATAAAAAGCATAACCCCTATTCCCCCCACTCCAATCCATCTTAAATAGCGCCATCTACTTATCAAGGAATTCCTCAGAATATATCATAACCCTTCACTTTTCTAAGATCCCCTTAATCTTCTTCAACACCCTATCAAACTGTATTGTATTCTTTTTTGAAAAATAGACAGCAAGGTTTCCTTTAATTTTCTTGCCCATATTCATTTCGTCGGTTCATTATACATGGCTGATGACAGTAGAGGAGATTAAAAAATTATCTATTTTCGACCATTCATATCTATGATACATTTTACGGATTCGCCGAATAGGTAAAATCTCACATGAATGCACCTTCGCTCAAGTTATTAAGAGTACCGAGCATCACCTTCGCTGATTAACACGGTATTGGTCACTAACCAGAGAAGTTGACATACATTTCCGCTAAACACCCGTGATGGATAACGTCAAAAGCGAGAAGAACCAATCAAGACCTGGAGTGATACAATCAAGAAAAATTTTAAACGTATAAGAGGACCAGCGATAAGCGGACTTAGAGGGTGAAAAAGGAATGGCTTCTATTACCATCACCGATGGCATCAAACCGAGTAGCTTGGAGACGTCTTGCCCATGTAGCCAGCGGAGCCAGCCTAGCGAATAATGATAAGAGCTGTTAGAAGGAAAAAAAGAGCCGTCGCCATGATTTACTATTCTTAATACCACCAAATTGCTTTCGAAATTTCGAAAAAAACCTTGTTAAACCTAAAACTATGATATCGCTTAAAACCTGCATTTTGTGAAAAGTCAAAATTTCTTAAATTCCCATAACGCCGTAGCATTCTCTTAGGCCATAAATCATTAGCGACATCGTTTCAAATCTAATTCCACTGCTTTAACTCATCCACGGAACGAAATGATGGATGTTCGGGGAGAATTATAGATTCGGTGGATGCGTCAGAGTTCGAAAGGTTGCTAAGGGTTGTACCACGCTACACACTGAGATCTAAGAAGAAATACGCTCAATGGCCGCAACGAGCAACGCTACTGCCAACTAACGACCGTCTAAGCAAGGAAAACCTTAAGAATGAAAAAAATTGGAAATTCTTGAAAACGTCCTTTCTTTTCACAAAAAGGCAATTAACAAAAATTTTCGTTTCAAAACACGAAATATAGCTGCAATTTTCTGTTCATTTGTTCATATTGCTTAGGGAAGTTATGTTCATATTGTTGTGGGAAGTTATGTGGGGTAGAGGGGGAGAGGTGAGGAGGAGGTTTCGAGTGATAGGCGGTTTTGGTTAGATTAAGCCGCAGTTTTGGATAAACCCGTCTTTAAAGGTGAAATCCAGGTATTACTGGAAGACCACCCATACCTCTGCACCAGTGTCTCACTGGCGAAGGTAGATTATCATGATAACCAGTGGAGCCAGTTAAATGATGGTGATTTAAAAGTATGTGGCTCTTTAAATTTTTTTCAACTGGCAGACTAACCTAATGCAGAAATGTCGAAGCGGCTGACCCAGTGGATTTTTTGGGCTTTTTTAGTAACAGATTAACCTTAGATAAAATTAAAGGTAAACTGTTTAGCAAAAGAACGTAATTTCGGTCCTATACTTATGTCTTATTTCATTTTTCTTGTCTCATTTCTTGCTTAGGAATTGGCACTGATAAGAAAACACTTGAAAATTTCAAATATTTTACCAAGATTAGCTTTCAATTTGTCTTTTAGTAATGACATTTTCTAGGATCGTACAAAATTTTCTCTTATCTTGAGGAGTTGGGATATAAATGGGACATTGCTGGAAAAATATGTTTAGAAGTTTTATTTTGAATTTTTTGCGAATTTTTCAGCTCTGAAGTAGCAGTTAATCATATATGCCCATAACATATTTGTTGGTTGGCAAATCATCCTTTAAAAGCTAACAGAAAAATTGCGTAGGCAGTATTCTCCGGCTTCCTCTTTCACTCATCGCAAAATTATTTGCTAGAAATGTTTGGAATGATTTGAAAGAATTTTTTGCAAATGCAGTAATAATGCATAAGAAAGAAGCTGTATATCTAAAAATTACGATAAGAGCACATACAATATACAGCACACGTGGCAACGAATTTCAACAATCATTCAATGCTACGTACGTTTATATATACGCATATGAAATATTCACATATATGTAATACATCTGAGAATTGATTCCTGTTGATCGTTGTAATCGTTTGACCAGGTTCTTTAGACATCCTTAATATAGTCCAAAATTGTTGCTTAGTTTATCCATTGGTTCTTCTTTCCATGGGCCATGTTGGAAAAAGAATATACTCTTGCGACCGTGAATTATTTATTAAAAAAAAACGATTTACTATAATAAATAAATAATAGTTATTTAATAAGTTCGAAATAAAAGAGAATATATTCAAGACGAATAGTTAATAATAAAAAAGGTGGGTGAAGTGAAGTTATTACTAACCCAACACTGACCAAGTTCTCCTTTGCAAATCTGGGTGGTGGTCCTTCCAAAACATTGGTAGATCAAAAATTACATAAGAATTAATTTATTTTTATTCAAGAAAATTTTTTCATGGTTTTCTTTTTTGGTGTGCAAATAAGATGGCTTTACAAATTAGCTAACAGATGTGTGAACAAAGAAAGAAGAAAAAACAGTTTGTACGATTTGCATATTGTTGACTGCTTATGATGTGGAAAGCTTTGTTAAAATCTTGCTTTTCCTTTTTTGAATTTAAAAAAAGCTTTATGAATTCTTACCGTTTTATTATTATTTTATTTCTTTTTGGTTGTTTCCGATAGGCCATCTCACTTGATATCTATCGTTATATTTTGTTATGAATCTCATAAACTGTTTCAATGTCTCGTGATCATCGTCGACATTAGTTCCTTCCTTTATTCCAATGACTTCTAACTTCCAAAAATTTTCTATTTCTGACCCGGAGTTTACGTGCCTATTCGGCAAACTTGGTTCACCATTTCCCACGATCATTGGTCCAACTTTCGTATGAAGTAATGAGAATCCGGATTTTAATTTTTCGACTTTATTCAGTTCTACAAATTTGAAAAAATGATCCGCTCCAATTAAGATATTGGATCATTTCCAATAATTTTTTAAATTCATCGTTTGATTGGCTATCGGTATTTTAACAATATGAATTTAATGGTTAGATATTCTACTACATTAGCGCATATTTCGATAATCTCATCTTCGTTAATTCGTATACTGAGCTGCGGGTGGCTGTGTGTGATTTAGAGTTTCTAATAAAGGAGCTAATTTTAGTTCTTGTTCATCAGTCTCTGTTAAATCTAGTCGCTGAACTAATTCCTTTGATATAAAAGGTAATTGTGACCCCATGTCAAATAGTGCTAAAGCTTCTTTCTTTTATTCTAGTTGTAATGGGTTATAGTTATCTCCTGACATAGTAGCAAGGTTTCTTTACCTTGTTTCTTTGTTATTGCATTCGTTTGAGTCATCATTGTCGGACTGTAGTTAGTTGAACAATTTTCCAATTTATCACCTTCGTTCGTCTGACTAACGTTTTGGGTTTTATGAGGAAATGGAAGATAGGTTAATAGAGGGAATCATCCCAATTTCCAGTCACCAGTAGCGATTAATTAATGGTTCGTTCAGTCTATTTGAACAGACAGTAGACAATTAAATCAAGTGAATCTCGGGCGCCATTAGATTGATGCCAGTCTCTTAACTGTCGTCATCTTTGGCAAAAATCTTCATTCATTATTTCTTTCTTTGATCTCTTTTGCAGTGTGTGTTTTCTATTTGTTTCTGTCCTTTTTTTTATGATATCTTACGCATATCGCGGTCTTTATTGTAGTTTTTGCCCCCAAATGTTCTTAATGATGGTTACTTTTTTGGATAATAACGGTCATATTAACCCATTAATAAATTTTTTTTTGTGTAGATACGATTGTGTAGATCCTCCTATAACGTCAAAAGTTAGGTAACCGGTATTTTGCTGTTATTTTAATTTATTGATTTGTCTTCCATTTATATGTTCGTTTTATTCGTACAAAACTTTTATTAATTTTATAGCATATTTTTTATATAGCATGTTTATTATCAAGTTTGAGGTAACAACAAATCCTAGTTATTTATTGCTAGAGAAGGGAGAATTTCCAAAACTCTATTCTCAACCCAATACTTCCATTTTCAAATCACCACTAATCATTTCCGGTATCGAGCACACATTGCCAAAAGGATGGAAGAAGTGGATGGGAGTGAGGAAAGGATTATTTGGGGTGGTTTTTGGAGTTTTATTCGATGTGGTTTTGGGTCTTTTTCTAAGGTGTTCCGCCGTCATTGTTATCGCTTTCTGTGGTTGCGTCTAATGTCATTCCTCGGTCTCTCTTCTTATTTGCCGTTCGTATGCACTCTTTTTTTTCGCTTTTTTATTCTAAGTCCTTGAACCTTTTGTATTTGTACGTAGATGAAACCTTATTTTATTTTTATAAATAAATGGCTTAATCTGAGGCTTTGTGCTCGTTACATCTTCATTGATTCAGAGCAAAAAAGAGTCTGGCCGTCATATCTTTGAGTACTAAAAATGAATCGCGCGACAGACAGATTTTTTCGAATAGGAAAAAACGAGCCTTTTGAATCTTTTTAAATCTCAAAAAAAATTTTTTTATTGGATTTTTGTCTATTAGCAAGAGGAAAGAAAAGTGGCTGATCAACCTTTGCAGCTCTCGCTTCCTTCAAATCATCGTTAACCGTTATTGTTGTCGCTCGATGGCAAAGTGGAGAGCAGAAAATGGCCGATCATATCCGTCTCCATCATTGTGCTTCTTTATGGTTCAGTCAATAAATGCCCTTTGTGAAACTAGTAAGGATGAGCAGAGAAGAAAAGGAAATAAAAATCACTCTTCCTCTCAAATTAACGGCAGCTGTATGCAGTGGGGTTGACAGGACTTGACAAGAAAAGGGAAAAAAGAGCGGCTGGTCTAATACATACAGCTTTACACTGTTCAATCATCTACGCCGAAATCAACGTCAGCAACTATTGTAGGCACTGAGGTTAATAGGAGTAGGCGTGTCACATGGGCGAAACTCACATTAACGCGAGGAGGGGCATTATGCCAACCTACCTTCTCACTCAATCTCTGGTCAGTAGCAAGCCAATCGTTATAAGCGGTCGACTCTGCTAAGCCTAAAAAAACTTCCAATGTTATTGTCGAATTGTGGTTAGGAATAAAATTGACGTTGGTTTACATGTTAAGATGTCGTTACGTTTAGAGCATGAAATTATTTTATTGAAGTTCTTTTTATCGATTAGAGTGAAATTCAAAAATTTGAATTTCATATGCTTGAATTATTAAAATAATATGGTGCATATAAGGGATCCGAGCTCACCAATTATTTCTTGATGTGCCGGGGCAGTTCCAATCTCTATTAAACGGAAAAATTTTGTTAAAATATTTTATCAGTCTCTCGTCTAAACTTCTTCAACTAAAGTACGAATCAGTGGAAATCAGTGGAAACCAAAAATTCAAATTTTCAATCTATTCAAGCAGTATGTGAATGAATTCATGTCATAATTAAAGCTATAGAAATTGCTCTTTTATAAAATGTTGGGTATTGTCCTCGTTACAGCAAATAAAATTTGAATAATGTAGCGCGATCGAAGGTTTTGTGTTTACCAAAAATTCATTCACGTCTGTGCTATTGTCTTTATGCTTATTGATCGTTCCTGACGTCTATATTTATCGCTGTGGTGCCGAAGAAAACTCGTGTAAATTTTAAAGGTGAAATGGAAAGTGCGGATCCACAAACTCTGAATGAAAATTTTAAAAACCCGCACACTTAGGAATAGTTGCAAGGGGCGTTTTTCGGTGACAATTAATTGCATTATCAATAATAATAGGTTTAAGGAAGAATTTCTGAATTGCTTCTTGCATCATTCAATTCTCGATAGAATAGCCGCACCATTAAATATTTGTTCAAATATTTCGATTTAACGTGAATATTAACCATAAAAATTTCCTCACCCATGTTATTTTGCAATATGTGTTTCTTTTATAAGGCAGTTCAACAACATTTTCATGACAAAGAAATTAGATTTCCTGGTAACCTTTTTTTAAAATATATGAAAAATAAATTTGAAATAAGCGATAATGTCGTGATCAAGGAGTGGAATCTCGTCAATACTTTTATTATTAGTTATCAATTGATGTTTTTTATTGTTAAATCCTATTGGCCGCGATTTAAGGCTGTGGTAGCTATTTGTCATAGGTGAAAGTTCGAAGAACATTACTTAAAGAGTTGTGAGAAAGTATGAAAAGGCGTGGTTGTATTTGAGATTGCGGAATGCAGCTGTGATCAATCCATATGTAATTTATCAAGCGTTTTATTTGTAGCAGATAATAAAAAGCCAGGTTTTTGGTTCTATAAATCTGTTTTACAAAAACAGATTTAAAATGATTGGATTAGAATTGTTGAGCATCAGACCTGCGGCGATTTTTTAGTATAAGCTTGATTCTCCGTTATTTTTCCTCTTCGACCTCTGTATGAATTTTTATAACATTGGTAATCCCGAAAAAAATTTCGAATGTACGCCTGTGCTTATAATAACTTTTTCGATTATAGCGTAGCAACTTCACTGCAAATCATTCGTAATAAAGTTTCCCATGATAAAGAATGCTTTTTATACGAAGGACAATTTTATTTTTTGTTTTTCTTTTTTTTGCTTATTTCTTTTAATCGGAATTTATAAATAACGTTTCTCTAATAATTCTGAAACATATCAAATATCGCAATTGATACATCTTAAGTGCTTCATTAAATTTTCTACCTTATTTTCATTCCTTTTTTTTTCATTCATTCGAGTTCAGAATATAATATTTTGCATTATTGAATAAACATTTATGGTGATACCTTAACTGCCACCGAGAATCGAGGATTGGTTTCGAATCCGCCGACCCACCACTCTTCGTCGAATGCCAGCGTCGCCTGACGGAGAAGCAAAAGAGAATGGCTTAGTGTGTTGTTGGTTAGTACGGGCTCCGATGCTGAAATTCTATTCCCAGCGGAAGTAAATCTGTCCAGAAACCCCAGTAATACTCACGACTTACCTATGCTTTTGTCGCCAAAGAATTCCCTGGCATATTTGTCCATTGCGACAAGCCAGCCGATCGAGTCTAACCAGTAATGGCGAGTGCTGATTAATGGTATGCTGATATTAGACTGTCAAACTGGTTAGGCTCGATCTGATGCTGTTAAATATATAATTTTTTCCACATTTTTTAGTTGCCATAAATTGTTCTTAATTCATCGGTGATAATTTTGTGGTGAATGTGCATTTTTAAAACAATGAATAGAGAATTTCTATGGGCGGAATTAAGAAACAGCAATAAAGCTTGGCCTGTGGCATCATATAATGGAAAATGAAGGAGTATTCATTGATTTGGCTAAGATGAATTTAGCGACTTTTCGTTTATGCATGATTGCCTCGAGAAAGACGCAACGGTTCCTTGGAACTATCATATAAACGAAATGTCAACATATCATTCATAAACCCTTTTGTTCCCTAAAACCTGTCTGCTTAAAAAACTTCCCTAAATCCCTTCAGATTATTGGGTCTTATACTGAGATCTATTAGTTTCTGTACATATATTGTCCCACTTTTATAATTATTAATTTTCCTCTATTTGTTATTTGTTTCGTCTATTCATTTTTTTTTCATATTTTGCAAAATTATCTTTTAAACATACATGTAATTTATTAAGATTTCTAGAATTTTTGATGTTCATCTGAAGTATATTTAATCATTTATATTTAAAGTTTTTCATGGGAAAACGTATGAATGGCAATTATCAATTTTTCAATTAATAAATGTTATATTTAGCAAAAGTTACTTCTTAGATATTTATTTACTGAAAACCAACCAAGCAGAGCGTCAAGCACCTCTTGTTTGTATTAATAACAACAGATAAATAACAAATAAATAAATAGAGAAAATTAGTGACAAAAAAAAAAAACAAAACTTAATAAAGTGAAGAGGAAATACAAAATCTTATTTCAAAATTGTCGCATATTACATTTTATGTTTGGCGCTATGGTTTTATTTCGATAATATTTGTGTGTTCCACTCAGTTTTTCACATCTATTTGTTCTTTATAGTTGTTTGTTTTTTAGGCAGTAAAGCGGTTGTTAATTTGATGATATTTACATTAATTTGGCCGAAATTCGCCAGTTTTTAAATGGTTTTAGTGGATAACATGTGGTGGTGATTCAAAAATTGGCTAAAATTCGTATCAGGTTTGTTGTCAATAATCATTTTAATTTTGATTTAAAAAAGGGAATAAAATGATGTTAATTTTTGCAGTTTGGTTGAATTTTTTTATTACTTGGATTGCTCGGCTCTAAATATTCTATTCACGGGGTGAAATGATTTGAAATTAAGTAGATTTTCAAAAATTATAAAGTAAAATTTTGCAGGTTAGCTTTTCAATTTAGATGCTTGAATTTTTTTTGCCAATTGTGCTGTCGCTCAAGATTTTCGAAAATCGAGATATCTGATGGCTTGCGAAATCTGAGGATTTTGTGTACATTGTCATGTATATATATCATCGTCTATGCTTACATTTATTTTCCGCACCCTCTCTGTGGTTTTAATCTTTCTATCCGATAAGTATGAAATTATCATATATGGCACGAGATAAGCGACCATTATAGATTTTTATATCGGTTTGCTGGAATTCCTATAATTTCTAATTTAGGTTTCTGATTTTTAAAATGCAGAATTGTTTATTTGATTAATTTCGGAGGGCAATTCGCATTATTTTAATAAATCTTAGTAGTTATTTAAACTTTTACTTTTTTAAAAAAATTTAAATTTTCCATTTATGTTGGTTTTAGATTAACTCTAATATTAAAAAATCTAAAGCTAGTACTGTTTGCGTGTTATTTCCAAATTTTAGAAATTTATCTGTGAATAAAAAATATTAAGTGGGAGTAGGAAATGAGAATTTTGGCTTGGGAGATGATACTTCGAGGAAAGACAATGCAAGGGCGACAATGACGACTCAGTTAACAACAGATAAACTTAAAATAATCTCGAAATGATAAAAGAATATTTCGAATCACATCTCATTTTTCCTTCTTTTCCCACCAACCTTAGACCTTTAGGGAACCAGATTTTTGAATCAGTCCTAGAATTCGCATTAACAGTAATTTCTAATACTTCCAAAAAACACTGGTTAAGATATTTGCTTTCTCAGTCTCTCTGTAATTAGTAATCTACAATCCTATCTATAATTTTTAATTGGTGCGTAGGTGGCTCAATGGCAAGATAATTTCCATCGAAGATTGGGTTCGGTTGCTAAGCTTCTATTTGAAGAAAACATATCTAGCATTGCAACCAAACCATAGCCACCATTATCAGGGTGGCCATCTGGGATTAGATATTTGAAATCTTTCTGAATGGGCAATGAACTTATGAGAACTTTTATTAGGTTCTTGTATAAATGACGAAAAGACTTTTATTTACTTTGACCCTGTCCAATTCATGCTGACACGTCGTTTCATTATTTGCATTTCGTCATAATTGTCAGCAAAAAGGACTACATCAGCATATTCAAGATCTGCGATACTATGCTCTGAACTGATCTATATTCCTCTTGTGACCGACAAGCGGTGCCCATTATCCGGTCCATCGCATAGTTGAATATTGTAGTAAAGGAAAACATGCAGCCTTGACGAATATCAGTTCTTATTTCCGAGTCTGCCAGTTCCCCATATACACAGACCTGCGCCAGGGTATACTGATAAAATACTTTCATGAGCCGAATGATCTTCCCTGAAACACCGTCACATTCCATCATCCTCCAAAGCATTGCTCTCTCAGTTCAATCGAAGACAGCTGTAAAATCGAAGAAACATCTGACGGTAGGTTGCTAATATCTTGTCAGCATAACTGTGCCCCAGTCTGAATCCAGCTTGGTTACGTATCATATCTCGTATTGGCATCTATTCAGCAGTAGGGAAGCAAAAATTTTTTCTAGTAGAGATATCTAGTCGGCTGATCTCCTGATAATTGTCACAGTCCTATCCCCTTTCTTAGGAGCTGGCAATAGAATTGCTTTGGTTCAATCATTTATATTGTTTTCTTCCATACCACAGAGTAGGTTAAGGTGTGGTATGAACGATGGACAGTTCGGGCGTCTTGACCATCTTCTCCAGGAGCCTTAAGTTTCTGGATGATAGATTATTTCTCGTTCCTCTGGCGCTGGGATAACAGATGGCTTATTGTGACTTGGCCTTAAAGAATTCCTTCCACCTTATGAGACGATCCTTAATACTCTTAACAAGCGCACCTTTACCATCCCGTATCATTTCACTGATCATTCCCCGAGTTATAGTTGCTTTATGAAGAAGGCAGAGTTTCTAAGTTTTGTTGTTGAATAAAAAAAAGTTTTTGTTTATGAAAGTATACTCATTAAAAAATTTTTTAAGGTCGATCGATGGATCTCAAGCGATTACGTGGTATATTGTTTTGTACATTATTTATTTTGACATCACTACTTGGATCTATTTTTATATTATTTCCGTTTTTGCCATCTGCATTTATTGCTCCAGTTTTGTGGCGTTTTTGTGCTGATCGATTTGTCGCTTTTTGGCTAATCCTTCCTTCGGCAAGTTTTTATACAGTTTGTATATTTATTTATCTCTTCGTTTTCTTTCATTTGTTTTTTTGCAAAGTTTGCAAATCGCAAAGAAACTCTTATTTTTTTTATAAGCGATAAAATACTACACATTTTTTATATTCTTATATTATTTCCCATTGCTTTACTATTGTTTTCAAATAAAACAATAATTGAACAATAATAAAACAATTAAATGTTTACAGTCAATGTGCGATTATATTTTTGGAATAAAATTCCATGTAACCGGTGATCTAATTGAAAATCACCGATCATCGCTAGTAATTATGAACCACCGAACTAGGTTAGATTGGCTGTTTTTCTGGAATGCGCTTTATAAAATGAATCCTTGGTTACTGATAACGCACAAAATCTCGCTCAAAGCTATATTAAAGCAGATCCCTGGTGCAGGTACGAAATGAAATGAAAAGGATTTCATTGATAATATAAATTTTTCTCTCTGATTATGTGAAGAATTTTTAGAATTGAATATTTATGAAGAAATTTTTAGGTTGGGCTATGAGCTGTGCATCATATATTTTTTTGGAACGAAAGTTTGATCAAGATAAACAGACAATTAATAGACTGGTTGAGTACTATAAGGCAACCGGTTATAATTATCAGGTACAATTTATTTAATCTATTTTAGTCTTTTTATTGTTAACACTTTTTGGCCGCAGAAACCCTCAATAGGAGAGAGTAGAGCTTGAAGCGATAATTTGGAGTGAACGAGTTAGTTGAAAAGTGGGCGAAGTGAATTGTTACAAATAATTGGTGAGGAAATGACAGAACAGATAAAGAAGTAATGGAAGAAAAAATATAAGTGAAAAAAAAGATAGGGGGAAAAAAAAGGACAACTAAGAACGATAAGAGCTGTTGTCTGCGCAACTTTTCGAACTTTATTTTCTTTCATTTTTGCGTTTCGTCAAGCTCCTTTTAAACTCCTTTGAATCTTTAGTAGTTCAGGTGTGAAATAATGTTAATGGTGTTTGCAAAAAATATCTAGCTTTGATTCTGCCATTCTTTTTATTTATAGGCTTTAATCAGAAAAATAAAAAAACTGTAAAACACAGTCTTACTTTCATGTAATATGTAGGTATCACCAATGTATCAAATTACCATTCTTCAAATTGTTTTATTTTTAGATACTTTTTTTTCCTGAAGGAACCGATCGTGGAGCCCAAGCTGTTAAAGTGAGTAATTATTTTGCCGAGAAAAATAACCTTCCCAAGTATGGTTATGTTCTACATCCTCGGACGTCTGGTTTTTCTCATTTTCTTCAATTAATGCGATCAAGTTTGTGCTTTATTGTGCATTAAAAATGAGATATTTATAGAGGCATAAAAATTATCAAAAATTTGTGCAATTATCATTATTCATTAAAAATACATTTCATATTTTTTTTGTACCCATTAATTAAAACACACATATACTTACTGATTTTTTGCAACCATTAATTTCGTTTAGCGAAAGTGAAAAGGAGCACCTAATTGAACCATGTTTTTTGACGATAATATTTTGCGGTAATTGTAGAAAACTATATTGATTATGTGTACGATGTAACGATTGGTTATCCTTACAAAATTATTGAAAGTGAAGTGGATTTACTGAAAACAGGCGATTTTCCTAGAGCCGTTCATGTCGATATTAAAAAATACGATATACACACTCTCCCAACTGACGATGAAGATGTGGCCAGCTGGTTAAGCAATGTGTGGAAACAGAAGGAAGATAAGCTTCAATATTTTTACAGCAAACCAGCTGAGAAGCGTTTTTTTGAACCAAGTGGCGAACGTATCATTTGGCCGGTTTGTTTTTTTTTTTTTTTTTTAAAACTATTTCTTTTAAATTCACATGTAATTGAGAATAGTTAGCTAAATAATAGTTGTCCTGGTGGAACTTCTGCTAATGTATTTCACGCATTTATTAAAATAATTCACAAGGAAATTTTATAAGTTCAATTTTTCAATTCAGTTCAATTCAATTTTTCAACAATAATTAAGTGCCATTGGGCTGTTCTTGCACAATTTCAATATGAATAAATATAAATTTATAATAGTTATTATTTGTCGATTTGAGGAATTTTGCGGATATGGCTTAATTTGCGGATATGATTTAATTTTATCTTTTTCTTCAATTTCTGAGAAGAGTATCTCATATTTAGATTTTTAATGTTTTTTTATTGTAGGTTCAAACAATTGGTTTCGGTTACTATTTTGCTTTCTTATTTTGGACATTCTCGTCATTTTTTTGGATTTACTTTGTTATTTTTTATCGGTTGATTCAATTATATGTATTATTCGTTTGTATATTTTACTTCTGTATTCAGAAATTTTACGGCGGGATCGAATTTTTCGTTATAGATCGGCTTCATGTGGGCGGAGCGATTTTTTAGCTCCAGTTTCCAGATTAGATCTTTACATCTGAAATAACTCTTCAAAAAGTGAATCTCAATGGGAAAAAATATTAAGTTTTCACGTTAATTTTGAAGCCACAATTTTTTGACTGTGAGAAGTGCGAGACTTGTGATTTAAAGGATTTGCGAATCATTTCATATTTTTTAAGACGACTTTGTTGTGCCATCATATGGCAACCTTAATTTCATAACACAGCTTTATTTCGTTCGTTTTTTATCGTTAATATAGACCCAATGATTTTTTCATAGCCTTTTGTGATTACTGCAAATAATTTCATAGTTTATTCAGGAAATTCGATGTGGACATTGCATGCCATAAACTGTAAGCACTGCATTTACCACTGTATTCATTTTTGGGTGAATTTTGCCTAGTTTAGTTCGAGGGCAGTGGTATGGATGAATCCACAGGACCCTGGATAAGGGAAATGAATGGAAAATTATTTCGCCATTTGCTTCAAAAAATCGTTGACTCTAAATAACATGCGGTATTTTCTAGCTTTCGGCGGAATTCTTTCTTCGTTTAAGTCTTTGTACTGGAGCTCCTTCTTAAATTGGTGATAATAATACGCGGTTAGTTCAAAGATGCCAACGTGTATTTCATTTTGGTTATTAAAGTTCAGTATCCTTTCCAATTTGAAAATGCCTCAATCAAACGATATTGAAAAGAAAGGCTTTGGACGGTATGGCGAAACATGTCGCTCTTTCGCTCTTCATCCCAGAATTGAATTTTAAAATTTAATTTTAATGTAACATTTTGATCCAGAGGTTTTTCTTATATAGTATTATTGTTAAAATTTTGGAGTGTTTAGATCTGTTATATTTTTTGTTATTATTTTTTTTATTTACACAGATGTTGAGATGATGCTTTAAAGCTTTCATAGACATTAATAGATTTGTTCAATCATTATATTTGTTTACTATACCTAATACTTGATGGAACTGTAATAAGCGTAATAAACTTTTAAAACTTTTAAAACTTTTAAAAAGTATATGCTAAAAGTGTTAAAACTTTTTAAAAAAGAGAGTTTAAACAATTGTTGAGTTTTTGCATAGCCGGTTCCTTCTAGATTTTTTTGAATTTGCATCACCATCTGAACTAAATTTCAGTTTTTTTATTGTTGAACTAATGTAGGGAATTGGTGTGAACTGTTTTATTTTTTAATTGTTTGCATCCTTCAAATCAAACGAATCTTTGAGCTGTCAATTAGCAGTTAACTTTTTGGGTTGTTCGTTTGTTTCAGGTTTCTAAATCATCTTTGCCTTCTTTCCTGAAGTCTTCTTTCAACATCTCCATCTAACTGATATTTACTATTCATTTATTTAGCAAAGCGATGTTTTGTTCTACTAATAAAACGGCAAAATAAAAAAACTAAAACATTTAAAAGAGTACGAAGGGAAAAGGAAAGAAATCAGTAATAATATGGAAAAGTGGGTCGATGGAGAATTTAAAGATATTAAACGAAATTATTTCGTTAGCAGTTTTATTTGCCTTATACTTAAGATTCGATAGTTTCTTCCAGTAATCGATAACTCGGATGGAAATAATGCTAATTTGGTTTCCATAGCCGACTCGCTTTAATACGCTCCAAAATCACTTTGTAAGTGTTTTTCAGAACCGAACCTGTTTAGTTCCTATAATTTACGAAAAATCTCTATTATTCTTTTTAGAGCCATTATTGGTTGAAGAAAATTTTAAATTATATAAGAATATTGTTGAACTTTCCCTACCATTCTTTCGGTCTGTCAGGTACGATGCTATGTAAGGTCGTTTGCTGGTAAGATTTAGTGAAGAGATCGTTAATATTGGCATCATTCCTTCCTGCACGAAAAGTCTCAGAGAGTCGCGGAAATACAGCATGTCAGGTTCCTAAGAAGCAGAACCTTCCCAAATCAGCTGCGATATAGTGTGAATAATTTGCATGCAAAAATAAGCGACCGCTCGGCCGCGTTTGTGGCCATGCACGGTTTTATCAGAAGTTGGGGACTCGTGGGCCGCATTTTTTGTGGCCATGTGGTGTCTCGTGTTGGTCGCATTTTCACTATATTGAGGATCAGCAAAGTTCTACGATGTGCTTTGTTTTTGGTTTTGTTCCTTTCCGGTTTATTTTATTCATCTTACTTTTTATTTACTTTAATTGATTTTCGTTGATAATTATTTTCTTTCTGCAAGCTGCAATAATTTATTCGTTGCTGCAGTCGCATTTTTCTTTCCCATTTTTGAACAGGTCGAACGCTGTCGCATAAATTGTTTAAGCATCGTTACGCGATGCGAGTGCGAAGTGAAAGTCAGAGCGGTTGACGAACGCTATAAGAGAAGTTCGTGTTTGCTTCGATATTTTTTGCCTTTGCAAGATTGTTTAACGCGTTAAATTCATTTAATACAAGTTGAGTGTGCTTTTTCCAAAATGGAATACTTTCGTCTTTTTGATCAAGTCGAAGGGAGATAACGTACGTTAGCAAAAAGAAAAATTCACCATCAAGTAAAGGAGCGTTCTGTAAGTAAATTACGAGGTCGAACATTATAGTTGCCTTCTACATCGAAGATTGTTAGGTTAATGAGAAGTGACCGTAGTTGTTCGGTGCAGGGTTAATAGAGATAAAAAAACTGAAAAAAACTAAAATTTCCGTCGATGAGCTTGGAAAATACACGTCGCTAACAGCCGCTATTAGTGTGCCGACATATATTGGTGCTGTGCAATTTCTCTCAAGAAAATTCAATTTATCACTTAATTTGCGAATGTTTGCATACAGGAAATAATACCAATCGATTTTTGAAATGAGTAGTGTTGGGATAAGGCAGATGTATTGATGAGAATAGTTTCGATCCGGAAAGTTGGCGGAGTGGAAGGACCAGCATTAACTACCTTCGTTTTCCATCCGAAAGATCAACCAGGTCTGCTGAGTTTGGATGGGCTAAATTCGAAATAATTGAGCAACTTCTGAAAAGTCATTTTAAAGTACTGGAATTTTACGCATAGACGTCCTTTGCTATATATTTTCGTGGATTTTTTTTTGAAATTATAATAATTTATTATAATAATAATTTATAATAATTATAATAATTTATTAAGCTTGTAACATTCGATCAGTAATAGTAAACGAAACGATGAGCAATGGGTGAACCGAATTTGTTAACAGAGACTTCATTATTCGATAAGATTAAAGGAATTGTAACTACTCTTCTATTTTTGTTTTCTTCTGTGTTTGGGTCTTTCTATATACTCGCACCTCTTTTGCCGTTAATGTTTATAAATCATGTCGCTTGGCGGAAAATTATCGATCGGCTCATTGGATTTTGGATATTTATGCCTGCAGTAAGTTCTTTTTGGATAGATCTTTTTCTTCATTAACCGACTGGGAATAGGGAAGTCCATCATGACGATTGGTAGAAAAAGTTTTAAAAAGGAGGAAAATTTCGTTAGAAATGAAATTATGTTATAAGAATGAGCGCATGTAGACATTTTCACTTACTAAAACTGTATTTAAACTGTTCTCTACTGGTATATATTAATGCACACATGTAAAATAGAAGCTGTATATTTTCTGTGGATTTCTCATGTGCTTGTAGCGATTTGACTAAAAAGATTTGTTTTTAGGGCATAATAGAATTTATTTTTGGTGTTCGAATTACGGCAACTGGGACGAAAATTGACCATTCTGAGCCATCATTGATAATTATGAACCATCGTACTTGTTTAGATTGGTTATTCTTTTGGAATGTTTTGATAAGAATGGATCCGTGGTTATTGACCTCACAAAAAATCTCACTAAAGGTTTCTTATTCATCATCATTAACAAATAATGTTATTTCTTAGAGTTGTGAATTTTAGTTTCTAAAAGATAAAATTAAAATTATATCAAAAATGTTAATATATGAGGGAACAAAAGAGGGTTATCGCGTTATGAAAAAAAAAATAGTGAAAATAGTAAAATCGGATTCTTGAATGTTCCATATTTTAATATTTCTTATTTCTGTTGATCGTTTCGGTCTGTGAATCATTTATTTTCAGAGTATCGTGAAATATCTCCCTGGTGCCGGTTGGAGTATGGAGTGCGGTGCTTACTTGTTCTTAGATCGTTCTTTTGACCAGGACCAGCGGCGCATTGATGCATTGATAGATTATTATGTCAGCTGTGGATATAATTATCAAGTAAGTTTTATCTGAGGAATCAATGCATGTTTTACAAGCATGTATCCTTGCATATTGCTTTTTAGAAATTCGTGACTGAATAAATTATTTGTTATTTATTTTGTATAAATCATTCTTTTTTCATGTATCTTAGCTGCTTTTGTTTCCTGAAGGAACGGATAAATGTAAGCGTGCAACAGAGCGGAGTCGAATTTTTGCAGAGAAAAAGGGCTTAGTTCACTATGCTTACGTTCTGCATCCAAAACTCACTGGATTTGCATTTAGTGTAAATAAAATGAGAAAAGGTACTGGTCTCTGAATAGGAAAATTCTATTCTAAGATTTTGTGGATTTTGTGATTTCTTCAGATTACTGGCAAAAATTGTTCGTTAAGGTTTGATAGAATTGGACTCATTTGTAATCTGTGTTAATATAGCGATTAGCTTAATTAATGTCTAATCACTTTTTCTCGCCAAATTTGCTATGTTTGGAATTAAAATTTTGCAGTGGGCTATATCAAGAATATATATGATGTTACGGTAGCTTATGCCGATTCCATTGTACAATCTGAATTGGCTCTATTGCTCAAGGGTGCATGTCCGAAAAATGTGCATTTTGATATTCGTAAGCATGATGTGGCATCTTTACCAGCATCTGATGTAGAACTTTCACAGTGGTTAATCGATTTATGGGCTAAGAAAGAAATTAGGCTTAGCAACTTTTATTCCGAAGAATGCTTATCAAAACGAAGACTTGACACGGTTGACGGCGCGGAAATATTCTTGGTAAAAATTTTTTCATCAAACCAAATGATCTGTTCATTTACCCATTAAATCAATGTTTTTTTCAATTTTTATTTCCTTTTAAATTCCCTAAAGCTTTAGTCAGTTAATAATTTTTGGCATTCTTTTTTAAGGGAAATCATATTATCTTTGTTCTTAGTTCTTAAATTCTTTTTTAAAGTCACCAATTTCAGTTAAAGGACAGCGTTCGTTGTTTTATAATTTTTGTCATGTTTTGTTGGATCATTCTCATAATTCTTTGGTCATATATATTTTTTACTTATCCATCACAATTTCTGTTAGGATTTTTTACATTTCTTGTCTTCTTCGGCGCACAGATATGTTTTGGTGGGATGGAATGGATTGCAGCTCGTATTGTTGGAAACAAGTGCAAAGGTTTTCTAGCATAAATTTTAAAATATTTTGGATTAATTTGGTTGCATATTGCGTGCAAAAATTAAGCCTTCTTTTTTCAATTAAGCTTTTATTCATTGATATACATTTTGTTGAGATATATTTTATTTTTTTAACTAAACTTATATTTCAGAGACATGAACAAAGTGGCGAAGTTGGGTGGTTTAAATTTTTGATAAATATATTGTCGGGAAACTCCGGAACTTTGTAAAACTATATACCATTATTGTATATAGTATAATAATAATTTGGGTTGTGGAAGATTGATCTAATCCGCCACTTTTCATGTACTTTGCCAATGTGAATTTTGATTTTCCATTTTCAAATGTATATTTTTATTATATGCTGATTAATGCAGCTGTGACCCAAAATTAATTTAAAATACCATCATAAATAGATTTTTTGTTCTCAAAACGTTCAATAATAAATTTTTTCATTTATAAAATTATCCATAAATTCTCTCGATGTTACTAATGAAGTTGTTGTTGCATGTTACTAATGAATTATTTTTGCACTATGTAAAATCCCCTTCCCATTACCTTTCTTTGAGCCTATAGTGCGTATGCAAAATTCAACGATTTGTTGAAAGCAGTCAGATCAATTACCCGCGTGTAGGCAAGTCAATTTGTTCGCGTCAAGTCAATTCATAGCCTTTTATTCACATCAAGTTTGATAAATCTTTTTTTATTGCTTGATTTGCTTTTTAAAATTTAAGGAGATGCCCAGTATCGTTCGTAAAGCTATAATGCCTTGAAGAAGTGCATAAGCTGTATAATCCAGGGAATAGACTGTACATCTGGTACGCCTGAAGTGAAGATCGGGAAGACCATTATTCTTATTACCTAACGTTTGCAAATTCTGCGAAAGCATCCAACGAAATGAACTGAGAGCTTTACTGAAAAGTATCAGTAATAAAAGTGATGACAAAAATAAAAACGATAGTAACTGGTTTCACGTTTCAGCAGAAACAACAGGTGGCCGGAAACGAAGAATAGCCTTATTAGATATTTTATTGCTTTCTAGCACGTAATAATTTTATAGTCGATTTTTATATATTTTTAACGACAAAAGTAGTAAGAGGCAAATTATGATTGAAGAATATGTTGAAAATGTAAAATTTAAGCTCCTCCAGGAAAATTCATCAAAGTCTCTTTTTGAAAGTTTCAAATAAGCCACTTTTTTTAAGGGAAAACAACCATTCATTTCATTCATTGTTTAGTTAGATGAAAATTCCTTACAAAAAGGATTTCTTGTTCTCTCATATCGCATTATACAAAAGAATTTTGTCAACAGAGAGACAACAGATTCAATAATTTCACACATTAAGAATTGGTTTGCTCGATAATTATTTTAAACTTTTAAAAAATTGTTAAACTGTCGAAGTTTCCTTTGTTCTGATCAAAATTAGAAAATTCACAGATTCATAAATCGTACAGAAAGTTTAGAAAAATTCGCCTTCTCATTTACTGCAACTGACAGATGTACATTCATTATCATTATAATGCAATAGTTAATTTAAAAAAATGACGCAATTTGCATGGCGTAGCATTCCGCAGCCTGGATTTGCTTTTCAAGATACATTTTGCAAGAAGATTTACTGTGTTTTACCATCTTCTTGGCGATAATAACTATGCATAGTAAACTGATTATAAAATGGTGAGATTATGAAGAAATTATTTTTTCTAAGGACCTTTTTTTGCCGAAGAGAATCAATCACCGAAAAATAGTTTGCTTATGGCATTCATCAATGCTCGACTGGCGATTTCAAAACATTTTCTTTTTTTTACCATCTCTCTGGATTTCGATATAACTTCTTTGCTCTGAAAGGCATTTCAAAATTAGTTGGCAGTACTTATCAGGAATTTCAAGAATGAAATAATTTGATAGGATGCGGCTCCTTAAGATTATTTCAGTTCTGTTCAAAATATTTGCTTAAATGTATTAACTACGACAAACAACTATCGTTATAAAATGAATGATATAAAAAACTGCTTATTAAGATTCTTTTTTTTTTAGATATTTAGGGAATATAGAACCTGTGGTGCGTCAGTGCCTCAGTGGTGAGATAATTGCTCTTACTCTTCATTTGGAATCGAGAACTGCGTTCGACGCACCACTCTTCATCGAGCCGCAGTGTCGCCTAATGGAGAAGAGCAAAGGATGGTAGAACAGCTCAGTTGGCTTTTGATCAATTTTGAACGCCGATGTTGAAAATATTGAAACTCACGGCAGAAGTAAGCCTATCCAAAAATAAGCGTGATGCTGGCGATTCACCTGTACTTCTATCGCCAAGGGATTCCCTGACATATTTGCCTAGTCCAACAAAGTGAATCTTACCAATAATGGCTCTTTAAAAAAAGTATAGAAACTGCAGATTAAACTTTTGAGATAATTAACCATGGTGCAATTAGAAGCCTATAGGATCGAGTTAACATTTTCAGTGATCATACTTTTTCATTTCTTTCGGTAGATTTATTACCGAAAAATTCTGCGGGAATTGTTGCTGCATTATTTATTCCATTGGCTGGGGTGTTAGTGAATTGTTTATTTATTATTGCATCGTTATCTGATGAAGTAGATAGCTGATAATTGATTTCGAAATTCTGATTGCGAGCAAATTTTGAATTCAGCCTAGTTAACTCGGATTGTGAACGTTTTACATCTTTACTTGAAGGTATCTCAAGATTTCTATAAGACTTGATCCTTGAATTGCTTCCATGGTTTATACTAAAGCACATAAAATTTTACTTGATTATCGCAAATTATTGCAGGATTGACAAAAAAGAATATTTAAAAAATAGAGGTATTATATATTCACAAATATTACCTTCTATCATTGCTGATCCACGATTCTGCGACATTATTGCCATCACTTCTAACGCAATTTCTTACCGGGAAAGTGAACAATAGAAGTATTACAAACATCTCTGTGAGGAAATAACACATTTGCAACAAGTTTTTGGAAAAATATTTTAAGATTTTAAATAGGGAAAATATCTATGCAGTTTCTTTATTTACAAATTTTTACTCGATTTGCTACTTATTTTGCTACTTTTTTCTGCTATGCTCCAAGTGATAAATTATTTCAAACTTTAGAACTAACTCCTTTGCGGACATGGTGCTTTCTTTCTTTTCCCGCTTCTGTTTTATTCATATTTCCACTTTGGCACTATAGGTTATTAGGTAAAACATTTTCGCTACAGAATCATTTAAGTATATAATCACCAGTAATCTTTAATAACCACAGTATTCAACTATGCGATAGACTGGATAATGGACACCCCTTGTCGGCACTCAAGAGGTGTCCGAATTAGTCCAGAGCATCGTATCACAGATCTTGAATACGCTGATGATGTAGTCCTTTTTGCTGATAGTTATGACGAAATGCAAGTAATACTAAATAACGTTTCAGAAACTGCAGCAAGAACAGGTCTGAGGATCAGTGTACACAAAACGAAAGTCTTTTCGTCTATTGCAAGAAGCTAATAAAATATCTCTTTTTATAAATTCATTGCCAGTCGACGAAATGTCCGGTTTTAAATATTTTGGGTCCACTCTAATACTAATTAGCCAGGCAAAACACGATATTATAACCCCAATCACGGCAGTTAGAAATGCGTTCTTCAGGTTGACGAAACCTTTATAGAGTTGTCGTGAAATTACCATTAAGACAAAAGTCCGCACCTATATAGCCGTGATCCGTTCGATCTTACTAAATAGTTCTGAGACATGGTCAATGAGAGTGGAAGATATTAAAAAGTTATCTGCCTTTGACCACTCTTGTCTAAGGTACATATTACGGATCCGTCGAGCGGATAAGATATCACATGATCGCATCCATCTTCGTTCAAATACCACTTGCATAAATAATGTAATGTTATCACAGAGCGCCGCTTTCGCTGGTTATGGCACATTCTCCGTCATCCACCACAGGAGTTGACGCATATTTCGTTATTTGCAAAACCGTGTGATGGTTGCAATCAAAAACGAGATAGGCCATTAAAGACCTGGACTGATACGGTGAAAAAAGATCTTGAACGTATAGGTGGACCAGCAATATATAGACTTAGACGATGGAAAAACGAATGGCTTCCATTACTGTCGACGATGGCATCAGCCGCGCCGCTTGGAAGTGCCTTACCCTTCTAGCCGTTGGAGCCAGCCTAACCAGTAATAGAGCTGTTAGAAGAAGAAGCCCTATTTGAAACCAAAATATAGACATTATATACCATTTGCCTGTTCAAATAAATCTTCAAAAAATTGTTATTCTTATAAGCAATATTTTATCTAAAAGGAAATCTTGAATAATTGGCATATTTATAAAGCGCTTACAACAAAGGTTGCCTTCAAGGTCGCTGCTGAAACCTTGCAACAAGTTTTTGTTTTCGAAAATTTTGGTGCAAATCTGGCTTTGAACAAACAAACATTTTTGAATTGTTCCTCATTTTCCTCATTCGATTCAAAAGCCTTTGATTCTGTAGACTTTACAATAAGCAGTAGCTTAGAAATTTCTGTTTTCTTCATAAATATTTACATTATTTCAATCTTTTCCATGTTTTATTATTAGATATAAATTTTTTTCGATATTTTCTATATCATTACCTAATATTTGCTATCATTAAGGAGCGAATTTAATCATAAATTTGTTTACTTGGAAAAAATGATAACATTATGATAAGAATTTTTAATATAGTAAATTCAGTGGAATTATGCATATTTTGAGGTAATCACCTAGCTGATTCGTTAATACTGTATGTTTGAAATACTTAGAAATACTTTTTCTTTCTTTTTACTTGAAATTTTCAACTTTTTTATAAGAAATTTTGGTAAATTATCGGCAAACATTAAAAGAGATACAATGTATTTAATCCAGTCTTTTTAAAATTAATGCAGTTTTCTCAGCTCGAAGCTTCATTTCACAAAACAATTAAAAAATCAAATTGTATTAACTTCTATTTGATATATGTACTTGCTACAATTGATTATTCATTTGTTT